AGAGGATAAGTGAATGATGATTCTGAAACTAAGTTTGGGGAAGACATAAGAATGGAAAGAGAATTTTCCTTTAGCATCCAGATTTCCTAGACTATTTGACCTTTTAGAAAGTAAGAATAAATTGATTAGGGAAGTTTGGAACCCTCAGAGAGTGATGGGTGCTGAATTTTAGAAGATTCTTAAATGGTAGAGAGTTCAAAAGGTGCACTTCTTTAAATTATCATTTACGTAACTTCTAAATCTCTCTTGCCCTACTCCCGAATTTAGGAGGTGGATGCCTCTTGTCTGTTCTTGATGAAGTCCTTTTTCAACATTTCATTGGGGTTGGGTGGATTCCTCCATTTGTAAGCCTTATGAAAGGTGAAATCCTGAAGAAGTCCAATGTTTTCATTTTGTCTTTGTGATTAAATGGTATCAACACTAATAATGAAGTCCAGAAAAAAGGAATGGCATTGGAGCTCGAGCTGGTGCTGTCTTCCTAACTTGTAAGCATAATCTTTTGGATGCTGTTCATCTTTCTCTAACTTGCACTTTTGTTACTCCTCTCGCATTCCCTTCTTTTCTTTGAAGATTCAAGCTTCAGTTGGCGCTATGCAGAACGGTAAACAATTCATCATTGCCTTCTATTAATTAAAAAAAGAAGCAAGAGTGCTTCAGTTTAGTGGTAGTTGCACTTTGCTGTGTAATATCCAGGACGAAAGGAACATTAGATATTTTAAAGGGATAGAAAGGCATAGAGCAGAAATTTGGGAGCTTACTGCTTTTTGTCTACATCTTGGACTTTTTGCTTATATTTCTTTTGTAATGAACTCCTCTCTATTATTTGTGCGAACTGGGAAGTTTTCTTGTAACTCTGTTTACATAGGGCTTACCTCATGTTTATACATTGCATTTATCTATGAAATTATTTCTTAAAAATAATATAAATAATTAAATCTTTACCCACAAGGAAACACACTCATTTGGTAATTAATAAAAGGCAATGACCCAATTTTAATGGCTGTGTGATTCTTGTACCCAATCAGCCAAAAGAAAACAGGAAGTAATATGTAGGAGATATTTTGAATTATCAAGAACCGGCCTTTAAGATAACCAAAATTTGGCAGCGTTAATCAGCTTATCTGATAACGCATCCAAATATTAAATTACTTAAAGTGAACAAGTGAATAAAGGGTCCAATTTCTCATACTGAGAATTTGGAAGGCACTCTAGCCGGTTAAAAACTGATAACCAAAATGCTGACATGTATATTATATATAAAAAAATGATACCTTCCAACAGCCACCAGTACACCAGCAGTTATTGTAACACACCCAGCAATTTCATTCGATGAGTACCTTCTGCCTAGCAAAATGGCAGAAAATATGAGCTGCCAAACTAAAAACGTCTGCAAAAAAGGGAAACATATTGTTACAAGAAGGTCGAAAGAAGCCTGAGGAAATGAGAGAGCCATTGGAGATGAGGTTCATAAACTCGATAGGACGAGGAGGGTTGAAATTACAGTCATCAAATTCAAGTAAGTAACTCTAAGCACGTATTATAAAGTACAATAAAAGCATCGAGACCAATGCAGCAAGTGAATACAATTGAAAATACCTTTTATTTTCTTCTAATTAAGAACTTTAGGAGTTAGAACGGTAAAAAGAGAATACCTGACTAAGTATAGGTATTGCTGGGCCGGGAAGCGAAGCTGTAGATGATGCATAGCATTTAGTATGAATTCTATCATTAAAAGAAAGTTTAAAACTTGAATTGTTGCATCTTTTTTCTCCTACGAACCAGCTTAATTTCTTAATTTTTCTCAGCTCATTCATCATATCAAAAGGAATCAGTGCTTCTATCCTAATCTGGTGGGGGAATAGAAAAGCTAGGGGCATACCCAAGAATCGTAACCAGTTACAAGTTACCATACAAAAGAACGTGCAAAGACATAAAAATAGTTCACTCAGCCGCAAAAAATGGAAATTTCAGCCCAAAGGAAAAACCTGAAGTACTGTATAATTGTGATACCTGCAGCAGTCATCCCTGTCGCAATTCCAAGCGCTTCAAGCAAACCTACGGCCAAGAGTCGTGATTTTGGAAGCGATATCATTTCGTCAGTCACAATGTTTGCCCGATGCCGCAGATATAATATACTAAAATATACTATAACATAGCTGCTCCCCCGTATTATAGGACAAAAATTCCAAACGTTCTTCAGTACAATGCATAAATACACATTCCATAAACTAAATTTGCTTAAAGAAGTAGATGCATCACGCATGCTAAAAGTTGAAAAAAAAATTAAACAAATAACAAGGCAGAGCATGAATAACTTGCCCAAAGGTAGTCAACTGAGCTAAGAAGAATGGATATTGCTTCAAGGGGACAAGGGCAAGCTTGTACAGCACGCGGTTTGCAACAGCTAGTGATACGATTATTATAGAGCTTACTACTAAAAGCTTCGCTTTAGCGGGAGGATCTGAGTCGCCATTGGAGGCATGGGGTGAGGAATTAGAATTCCTCGGGGAGCTGAATCGAGTCTTGCCACTTCTGCTCCTGATTCTGAAATTTCGTGTTGAAAATGATATCGATGATTCCTTGAAATGACCCAATTTCTCCTGTGGCGAAGGCATCAAGAAAACAGAACCGAATTTCGGTGCATCGACGGGGCGAAGGAAAGAAGGATGCGTATGGAAGTGGAAAGAAATTGAATTAAGCGACGAGGTAAACGGAGATCCCATGGACGAGAGTTGTTCAGCAAACAGCGAACGTCGCCCGGTCGTTGCTTACATCAGATATTGTCGAATGGAAGCGTCTATTTAGAATAAAATATTTATAACTCCGCAGCGACTCCACCCCGTTCAAAGTTTAAGCCATCTCGTGTTATATATTGTTGTAAAGTAACTGTAGCGTTCTAAAAATTTAATATGGTATGGACGTATGATATCATAATTGTTACTTATCTCTTGAGGTGACGAGTTCGAATTTTAATTTCATTTGTTATACTTACTTGAATTTGTGATTTTTTTAGAAATAATAATGTCTTGACTAGTTGAATTTTAAACTTGATATGAAAATCATTTAACAAAATTCATTTTATTTATAAAGAATAATAATACATGTGAAATATTTAACGTCACTTTTTTGTCAAAATAAAAATATATATTTCTTCAAATGAAAAACGTGATAATTTATACTTGTATTTTTGTTTTTTTGTTTTTTTTTTGTGTATGAGCCTATCTCCTAACATTTAGTCCCAAGACATTTATAGGATTCTAATATTTAAGTAGCATTAATTGTAGATCCATTATTTTATAATGTGACCGCTTCACTCGTAGGCATAAGATAGTTTGTCTTGTAAAAATTGTTTTTCATTAGTATTTCACTCATTTATGATAGTGCTGTGATTATCGTATCAAATTATAATTTTACGATTGTATCAATAAGTTCACTTTTGAATTGTAAAAATAAGTACTTATTTGTATCGTCAACATTCACTACCCTCTATAATTTGAATACACATCAATTATTATGCTCCATCATTATCGAATTCATTCAAAATGGTTCCAAGTTGAATCGTATTAATCTGAACACTTTTTCAAGTGATTTTCATATATAATTAAAAATGATTTAGAATAATTAGCATTTAGTTTCAAAAGTAACTTTAGAATAAAATTATTTAACATCATTTATTAAGTAATTATGATTAAAAAATGATATATACAACTAAATAAACACCTTAACAATTTTAGAGGCAGAGTAGAGAGAGACAAAAATTTTAGAAAAATAAATAAACTTAGAAACGAGACTACAAATTTTAGAAAGAAATAAAATGAGAGAGTGAGAACAAACAAAATTAAAAATAAATAAAATTAGAAAAACAAAATTTTTAGAAAGAAATAGAAAACAAATTTTATCAAAGTTTTAAAGTGAAATAGAAAGACAAATCTAAAATTTAAAACAATAACCATTTCAAAAAACAAAAATCACTGATAGAAATATTAAGAATTATTATCAAATATATCTATTTTAAAATAAAAGTGATTTAGGGTGTGCTATTTTACAATCGTCAAAATCAGAAATTGATTTTTAAAGTATCACTTAAGTGATACTTAATCAATTACACTTAAAATCTTTTCTTTTTTTTTAATTACTCATTCTACAATTAATTCCAAACACTCTTAACCATAACACTCTTAACCATGAGGGAAAGTAATTTTAGAAGTAAAAGTAGCCAAAATTACTCCTAAATGTGCCCATGCAAAAATCACTACTACACATGACCAAGAGTTCTAGCAAAAAGTATATTTAAATGGATAAAATAATCAAAATAAAAACACTTTTAACTTTTTTTTTTACCAATGATGGGAACTTCATATCAAATGCATCCTAATTACACTCTCGTCAAGACAAATTTTCCTATTAATTTCATCCTTCGTACTTTTACCATCTGTTTGCACACCCCATTTTCATCCCATCTTTATTGTTAATCTCTCCGTACGTTCTCACCACATCCAATTTCACTCGCTAATTTCTTTCTACAAACTCTCATAAACTTTCTCCACATATATACATCTTCTCATACATCCTCTTACTATCCTATTTATAAACATACACACATAAAGCAATTGTAATTTCCTTAAATTAAAAAAAAAAACACTCGAGAGCACATAAAAACCAAACTAAAAAGTCCAAATGATGAAGCGTTTCATCATTAAACACCTTTTATTAAAATAAAGGTATAAAAGTGCATGTAAAGTGAAAACCATGACAAAACACACAATAGTCTTGACACCGCTCACTGCGGTCATCCAACAGGAGCAGAGTGAGAAAATAATATGGATTGTTCTAAAAATTAATTCCTTTAAGCACCCAAACCAGGACCCGAGCTTCTGCGACATTCCTGCAACATATCCATGTAGAACTGGCACTTGCCAATGTCACTTCCATAGTGATTCAGGCACTGCAGAAGGGGAAAAAAGTACCGCTTTAGTATGAAAATAACGCCTAAAAATGGCTTGACCATGATCAACTGACAATCTATCCAAGAAAATAAAAGGGAATGAATACTAGACATAGTTGTGTTATTAATAACATAGAGAACACGAAACCTACATCTTGCAAGGCCTTTGATTGACCATTACAAACTTCAGAACCTCCAACATTGCTTGCTGCAGTAGGCACTGAAGAAGGGGCAGCTGATGAATCAACAGATTCATGCTGAATGACCCGAGGACCCATTACAGCATCAACAGCCCTGTGAGCCACCGCACTTCCAGTACCAAAGGCCATACCTGCACATCAGCAAAGAAATAAAAAAAATTAAAAATACAATGGTTATGATAAAACTAAAATCATTTACGGTTGTTAAAGAAGATGCAAGTGCTTCTAAACTCACCTTGAGCAATAGTGGCGCCGAGTCCTCCGAGCATAGACCCACCTCCACCACCTTGTACAGGTGCTGGTGGAGGAGCAGAACTAACTGCAGAAGTCCAGTCAATTTTAGGTCCAAAAAACAATATTGTTAAGAATAAATTGCAAAAAACATCATGAAACTTTCAACTTAACGAGCAAAAGAACAGCATATTCATTCACATTCAAATTAGGAGTATTACTTTCAAAATATTTCAGCAATACAACCATAACCAGGAATTCATATGAATAACTGTGGAAACACTGTTCATATTCTTAAACCTTCCAAAAGGGAACTAATCAATTAGAATAAGTGTGGGAGGTGGAACCAATCGCGACCACTTTCTACATATAATTGAAGTGCAGAGGAGTCCCACCTTGCATTTTGCTCCTGCACCCACTACTTTCAGAGTTTTAAGTTACTAAATTCTCACTCAAGGGCATGTAGTTTTTTTCATTTCTATATCCATTAAGCTTACGCACACCTCCAAATCAATCAATAATCTTGGTCCTATTGAAAATAACAGTGAAACTGAAGAACCAATTAAAAATAATATCAATAAAAAATTTCCTAATGGTATTAAAACTAATATCAATAAAAAATTTCCTAATGGTATCAAAAATAATATCAATAAAAACATTGCTAATCATATTATAAATAATATGAATAAAAACATTCCTAATCATAGTGATAGTGACAAGTAATGTTGATGATTTAGTCGGCATTCGGAATTTCGTATCTGATGACACTTTTTTAGTTAGGGATAGTAATAGCAGGATTATTCTCACAACAAACTCACCCACCCTACTACATTCACAACTTTAACTATTTACATTAGCTCATTAGCCCTTATTGACCACTAGGTAACCCACGATGGCATCTTTTAATTTTTACTTAAATCCAACCTTTGGAAGGTATCCAAATATCCAAGTTCTTATCACCAGAAGGTCCCAAGGGGTGAAGGCCCATCTCCAAGGAACCCAGGTGAGCTACCAAAAATTAAAGGAAATACAGAGGACTAAAATCGCTAACCAGATTACGAAAATACAGTTTCTCCCATGGCTACCGAACAAATTCAACATGGCTCACCCAAAAGAGATCTTAGAATACAGATAATAAAAATCACATAAAATCGTGGTGTTTTACCTGGCTGCGGAGGATTGCGGAGTGGAGCGCGAGGAGCAGGACGGGAAGCAGATCTTCCTGCAACAACAAATAAAGGTCCACAACATAGCACATGCGTCTGAGAGATTTAACAAAAAATACCTCAAAATATTCATCGATATCATATCAATTTTCAAAACTTAAAGCGTGCATGAGCTTCGAACCCTAGTTTCACAAATCGCCGAAAGTCTTGTTGTCAAAACATATCCATCCTTAAAAACATAAATTTCTCTCAACCAGAAATCCGACCAGACTCTCCATACAATAATCACCGCCAGACAACAAATATCGTAGAGAAAGAAAGGGAAAAAAACGGCAACCAAACACGTCCGGAAAAAATTGTCCGAACATAGAAATGACAAATAGCGTAGGAGAATAATAATATGAAGGACGAATCAACGGAATACGGACCCCCGGAGCTCCGACGAGGCATGGTTAAGGACGATAAGGAGGAACGATGGTGCAGAGGAAGCAAAATGGGAAGAAGGTAGATCCGCGTTTAGGGTTAACTGGTTTTTTGGAGGGTTTCTTACCGCTTATATATGGGCCAAGTTAATTGGGCATTTGGGCTTTGCGATTCCATTTTTAAAAAACGTTAAATAATTTCTTGCTCTAAAAATCGCGTAACAGACTTATCCGATACAGCCACGTGGTTCTATTTTTTCCTTGCCCCGGAAGCAACAAAGCAAGCTGATGAGACCAACGCGAAAAGACTATTCTCGAAGGTTCTTGTGCATAAATTAATTTTAAATAATAAAGAAAATCGAACCCCGCCCTTCCTATACTACAGTAGTTATAGTGTTAGCATAATTTTGAAAATAAGATGAAATCCTCTGGTATTAAATAATATTTATAAATAAATAATTGTAGTGTGAACAAGACAGTAGGTAAAATTTCTATTAAAAAAAATCTCTCAAATATCTCTACCTCTTCTTTGTCCATAAGTGGTCTTCCATTTAAAAAAAAAATCTCTCAAATATTTGAATTGAGGGAAAATTTCTAGTAGATATATAATATTTAGTTTCATACTAATTTCCAATATTAACCTTTAATAATGATGTGAGATCCATGAAATAAAATAATAAATTATTTAATAAGATGCCAAGTTATGAACAAAAGAAGTTGTAGATTCCTATAGTGATAAAGATTTTTCCTTGAATCAATAGTCATGCACTCATTAACCTTTAATAATGATGTGAGATCCATGAAATAAAATAATAAATTATTTAATAAGATGCCAAGTTATGAACAAGAGAAGTTGTAGATTCCTACAGTGATAAAGATTTTTCCTTGAATCAATASTCATGCACTCATCCAACATTATAAATTTCATGTCAAGTTCTCAAGATTAAGGGACAAAAATCTCAATTTCTCAAGATTCCAAATTCTTTTGTCTTTAAAATTACCAAAAGGTTCTTAAGTTAATTTAAGAATCAATTACCAAAAACAGAATCCTTCAATAAATAAAGAAAACCCTCATAAATCGTTCAATAGGATAATTAAATCTTGAACATTTAATGTAATATTGACCCAAGATTTATGAACTCTTGACTTTAAATTTTCCATATTAAACAATTAACTATTTAATATGAATTGATTTTTCAAATTTAAAAATTAGATTATTAAAATTTGTAACTGATTATTTAAATTAAAAAGTTGAGACTTTTTCTATATCATATTCAAATGGAAGAAATTTGTGAAAAGATTGTTGGAAGGATAAAGATTGGAAATAAATTTGTTTTTTTTTTAATAATGAAGATATTTTGATAATTTTACAAAATCAAAAAATGAAAATAAGTCAAAACGAAAATAAGTAAAAAATTAAAAGTGAGGGATCATGAATAAGAGATTTTAGCCTGTCAAAAAAAAAAAAGAGAAAAAGAAAGAATAAGAAATTTTAGAAATGGGTCAAAATCCAAATGAATTAAGAGAAAGGACAAAAATCTCAATTTCCCAAAGGTTCTCAAGATTCCAAATATCCAATAGGAGTACTCTTTTCCGTGTATGATGAACAAAATATTACTTGGAAAGAATTCTGGATAAAAATTCATATCCCGAACTCCCATTCCCATGTAACAAATTGACAATTTTTTTCCTTATTTTTTAATTTGAAAATTTACTTCGAGAGGAATCCTGTAAAACTAATATTCTGCAGGCATTGGAATCAAGATTCACAAAAGCCAAATTATGAAATAAAAGGTATTTTCTGAATTCTAGAACATAATCTCATCAAATTCTTGTTCTAAAAGGTAAAACTTCAATTGGAAACAATTTAAAAACTCTGCAAAAGAAAGAGATAGTCCTCTAAGTAAATAGTCATCTCAAAATTTACAAAAAATTTATAATTTAAAGGCCATGTCTTAGTTATCTAGGTGGAAAAAAAATCAAATTCTACACAAGGGGCCGGTTCGATTCTAAGAGGCTTTATCTTCAAAATTTCTTTTAAGAGCCACGTTTTAGCGATATGTAAGTTTAAATCATAATCGAACAACTTCTTAATTCTTAAAAAAGAGAACATCTAAAAGTGATTTCTTTCCATTAAATTTTTTATTCTAAAAACACTGTTTTCAATAAAACACTTTAAACAGCTATAATTCTACAGAATACTTCATACAGCCCCTCTCCATTAGCCTATGCCAACCAAAAAATAATAATAATTAGAAAAAAAGGTATCATCCAACAATCAAGCAAGAGAATTGGATCAACGAATAACAAACTAATGAACTAAAAAGAGCAAGAACTGTACAATCCAGTTTGCTGCCGTAATACAGTTAACATGTTAACGTGCATAGACAAATCACTAAAACAAAATATTAATCAATCAACTAAGAATCTACAGGTATAAAACTAAGGGGAAGAAAAACAGGTAGACAAAATTTCAACTGCGGAAGCAATTTCTTTAGTGATTTACGACTGTACAGTAATTATAAACAATATATCAACTCAACAAGTCATAAGCCACCAACACCATCACCTCCTAATTCTCTTTCCAGCGATAACTTTGAAATGCAATTATATTATACACTGTTTATACCTCTTTTCACAACTGAACTGGCAATCTTTAACCAAAGCCGAATCCTTCATTTGCCTCGTGAATCGCAAGAAGTAATCTTTCCTCCAGATGTTGTTTAGACGGATACTCGGGTAAATCTAACTGGTTGAAACTGTAGGCAAAGAAGAGTGAATACTCAATATCTCTAAACCAGAAAATTAATGGATGGTAAAGAATAGGGCATATTATCATAAATAGCACCATTTATTACCATGTATGAGCAGAAGGCAAGTGATCTGGGCTGCCGTATGCTTTGTGTATTTGAAACTTCTGTGAACCTGAAATTCCTTGCAGAGCACTGAAACCTTCTAAAGGCACCTACAAATATTAAAGAGAGAATGTTCAGATCAGTCACAAATAAAATGCGGAAAGTAAAATGATCAGACCACAGTCACAAATAAAATGTTGAAACAGATTTTGGCATCGAACGGGCCTTTGTGAAAACGTAAGGTTATTGCGACAGATAGAGGGAGGAAAGAGGATTTTGATGGCCATTCGGGTCTCCTTTAATATCATATTTAGTATTTACATTCAGTGCTTAAGAAAAATCAGTATACCTTTGAGGTGCCAGTAACAAACTGCAAAAGACGGGCCTTGTCTTCTTTGCTGAAGGCTTGAACAACCTCCCAAAACCATTGTATGACCGGAGATGCAGCACTATATCCGGAATACTCTGTGTTTGCTCGCATGTCATCCACTGAAAAATATTAACATAGAAACATAAGCTATAATGCTATCATTCAACTTCAGAGGCAGAAAGTAACCTCAATGTGAACAAAGAATTATTTGTAGAAAGATAGGCAGAAAGTAACCTCAATGTGAACAAAGAATTATTTGTAGAAAGATGAATAAACAATGTACTTACGATCAATATCTGGAAGCCCACAAATCAACAATTCAAGCTCCTTGTCATTAAAAATAGATATTAGTTCCCTAGGAATTAATTCATGAAAACCTTCCAGAAAGGCATTAATCTGAGGACGAATAGCCGTTGTTAACTGATGCTCAACAACAAGATCAACATATTGGTACTTATTCTCCTCCGTGACTTTAATGTTCCGTCCACCAGGAATCAGTTCATAGTCAGTCACCTGATGAAACAAGATAGTCAAATCTTAGTAAGATGTATAACATACGTTTTACATCAGGTCATACATTGAGAATGAGAACTATTACCTCTGTCCTTTCATAGAGGATCAGCTTCTCCTCATCAGCATCAACACTAAACGTAAGGTCCAAAACATCACTAATATCATTCTGGAAAGCAACAAAGAAACCAATTCTCTGATTTAAATACTTATATCAAGCAACAAAGAAACCAATTCATATGATTTAAATACTTATACCTAAAAAAAATTACCGTCATAAAAGTGCAATTATTAGAAGGCAGAATTCTTAAAAACCATAAGTTAATACTTTATTCAGTACCTCAAGCATCCATTTCAGATTTTTATAGTAATCGGGATCAATAGCTTCAATGTCATGATAAGTAACTTTGACTCCCAGGATATGCTTGTAAAACGATCGAGTGAAATGGACATCCAAGAGTTGTCCATCATAAAGTGCTTTGCCAACCTGATAAAAGAGACCAATGAGACGTGCAAAGTAACAGTTGTTCAACTAATCCGTTAAATGCAAAAAAAGTGTACTGACCACTCGCCCAACAAACTTGAAATATGAGAGATGCTCCGTTTGGTAGGCAGAATTGGGGTTCGGCTGAAATGTCGAATCATTGCCAACAGTCGTGAAAAGTAATGCTCCCTTGTCAAAGATAACTCTGGACAACAACTGATACCATTCCCTTGAAAGACCACCAGCATCAATACCTTCCTCTCCTTGAAAGTGAACTGTCAGCCTCCCTTTCAAATCTTGTGTTGATCTCATTCGCAACTGATTATATGAATCTTCAAGAATGTATGCCCTCCTAACAGAAATCCTTAAAGGACTATGATGGTGGTCATGTTGATGTTTTATTTTTGATCTAAAATGAGCTCGCTTATTATCAAAATCTATAAATCGAGGGACCTTCAACATAGGGGAGAAAGATTTCTCCAAAAGCCCAGGATTTTGCCGAATAAATGCATTCAGCAGCTTCCTGTGCTTCTCTGAGAACCTAATGAAAGCAACATGTTTTTCATCAACTTTCTGAGTTGGCACTGTAGTTCTTTGCTGGGCAGCAGAAACTCCAGCATCCTCAACCTCAGAAACTGTAGTAATATTCAACTCTTGATCGGAACCAGGCTGTGCAGGATGCAACTTCTCACACACCACAAAAAAAGATTCAATATATGGTAATATATTCTGACTGCCAGCAGGAAGTGGGGGTGTTACACCAGCGGGCTTAGATGTAGGAGTTCGAAATGAAGCCAACATATCGGGTGAAGAATCTGAATAGCTCTCAATTTTGCTAATGCAGGTGCTCAGCTCAAGCCACAAGGGCTCCAAAGCAGCATTGATATCCCAAACCAAAGTAAGAG